CTCCATATGTGGTCAGCCACGCCTGATTTTTCTACTTCCCCTCATGTTACAGCTTTCTGGTGTTCTTGAAGCCTTACCTTGAGGGGGCAGCCTGTCTCTCCTTCATATTCCTTTCCGCAGCTGCACGGGATAGCGTACACACAGTCTTAGAAATAAATACAATATGGGAACCAGTAATAAGGAGTGCCAGAGAAAAGCAATGACAACAAAGTTGCAATATGAGCTCTGGAAAAAACATGAAATGATAACATCAAAATTGCAATATGAGCACTGGTAAAAATGGTTGCTGAAGACATTAGGTTTATAATACCCAGAAATTCATACCCAGATGTCCTCAAGGACACATGGCACAGTGGATAAAGGCATTGGTTAGATCCAGTGACAGGACCCAAAGAGTGTGAGACCCGGTTAAGGCAGTGGAGAACTTTCAGAGGGAAATTAGCAGGAGATAACTGATAACTGACATCCATCAAACATGGCACGTGGAACTAGAACAGTCTACCCCAGTGAGTGAAATAAAGAGTTCAGTTCGAAATTCCAACCACCTGAAGAAGGCCGGAGCGTACAATGGGCGAAACGTTGTGATAAGATGAGGACAATAGTCCGAATAATGGAGACCTCAATTTGGATCTTGTGTTCAGCAAGTTAGGGTTATTTAAGTGTTTTAATATAAGCTTGCATCTGTCTCCCTTTCCATTGTATGGCTTAGTGTTTGTGATTATTTCCCAGCTAATGGTTGGGTTGTCATGGTTGTTTTTTAATTGCCAAACATACTTTGAAAGTGTTGTGCAGTTTTTGTATTTAATATTAAAGCTAAGCCATACAATATATCATCTCAAATACACAATAACTAAATTCACCAGTTGAGAAATGCCAATCCGGCCAAGATGAAAAAGCTGTAAATTCACAATTATTTTAAGGGAGTGAGAAAAAGTTCACAGATGTACCAAAAGAGTGGTTGATGCCATGGGGATCAATTTAATTAAATGATTTAATTAAAATATATTAAGGCTTTACCATTTAATATGGCATTAAGCTCTTTTTCTCTGCTGTGCCTCTATAGCAGACTCTCTTAGGACCTTTTTATTCTATTTTTTACTCTCATTTTTATTCCATTTGTCTTTTCTAAAGATATATTCTGAGAACTTTTTCGCGCACACACACACACACACACACATAAAGTATAATGTGTTTCATCCTTATATATGTCATCTGTGGAAGTTTGTATCTTTCAGACTGACTTCATTCTGGTCATTTTGTGTTTTTTCTAAAGAAACCCGGGACAACATATTTTTTCCCTGCTATTTTGTTTCACATTCTTTCATTATTTCTGAGCTTGAAATTAGTTTTCTCTGAATCCTTATCTACATTCCCCACTACCTCACCACATATACACACCTATTATATTTAACACTTTTTTCCTATATGTAGTAAGTTGGAAAAGAAGTGGTGGGTGCTTGTTGTCAACAAAGTCGTGTTTATATCGGACATCCAACTGTCTCTGGTTGTTGTATTCAGAGAGTTTTTTTTTTTTAATTTGAAACCATTAATTTCCGTTTGTTTGAAATGAAGTTGATTCCTTCATGTCCTTGAATTGATTGCCAAGAAAGATAGGATCTCTTTAGGAATTTGTTGCATGAAATCTGTAATGTTATTTTGAACTGAAATAAATGTTATTTGGTTGTAGAATTGAGAAAAGTTTTATTCATTCGTTGCACATTTGTTTATGATCTGCGCTTTACAGAACCTCATGTCTGTGTACAACTCTTGAATTTCCCCTTTTATCAAAACTCTTCCATTGGAATTTTTACCAATTGTCAGAGGATTTTTATTTATTCTGGATCTTCCCTTATTTTAGTTTGACATTTTTGTTTCATTGACTGTAGATAGCAATACTGTCTGTCTTTCTAATACACACACACACACACACACACACACACAGAGTTTGCATATTGTTCTCTGTTCAATTACTTCTTGTGAAATCTGGATGGTTCAGTGCAATGTTTTCTCGGCATGGAAAAAGGAATTTGCTAAGAAAGAGTGAATCCGCAAGACTGCTTCTGTCTTCACTTTAGACAAATACCTTTGGGAAGTGCGTGAATCCCCATATTGCTGTAAATTGGCAAGATTTATGGTAAAAGAACAAAGACCTCATTAGTGGAAATGTCTTTGAGGACAGAGAGGATGGTAGAAGTAGCTAAAAAGCTTTTGACAGTGGCTAATCATATATTAATACATTCTTTGTGAGCATTCTTTAGTCTCTGCTGGAAAAAAAAGTTTCACCTGATATGCATGTGAAGGGAGAGAGATATGTGAAAAGAATCTGTAGGAAAGAGATAGATGTGAGGAGGTTATGTAGACAGAGGGAGTTGTTGTAGACAGAGGCTGGAGTGTGAAGAAATAGGGAGATGTAAGAAGCCTGGGAAGGGAAAGAAATTGGGATATCTAAGAGAGAGAGAGAGAGTGAGAGATGTTAGGAGAAAGATGATGGAGATGTTAGATGAAGAGGGAGATGGAGATGTTAGAAGAAGATGAGAGAGAAAAAACTTGGGAGATGTAAGAAGAGAGAAAGAAATAGGCAAATGTTTTTTTTTTGGGTTTTTTCTCTCTCCTTATTTTTTTTATTTGACAATTTGTCTATGGACCCAGGTTCACGTCTTTGCATGTGACAATGTTCGCATATCAAAAATTATTGCATCAATTATTGTCATCTGCATATTTACACTTCTTTGGTATATGATTCAGATTGTGTTTATCTTTTACAAGGATTTTTTTTGTGTGTGTGTCTCTCTCTCTAGCTGTCTTTCTTGTGAGTGGAGGCATTGAGAGATACCCATGCCTAATTCAATCTGTTTACATTTTTTTAGGGGTGGGGGTGGAGATTTTTAATCTTTCTCTACTCTTTTGTGACTCTGCCTTTTCTTGGTGGGCATGATGAATTCACCTCTGTCACTACGTACACATATGAATCGACTTTCCATTGTGGTGTTAATCTTTGTTGGTCTCTTTTCACAAACAACAAATAAATCTCCCTAACCTCATCATCACTTTATTTATTCTCTTCATCTCAACTTTGCAATAAAAACAACTTCTGTCTGCATTCCTCTTAAATATTCTGCTTTTTTTTTTTTTTTTTTTTTTTTTTGTTGATGAGTTGTTTTGCATTTTCAAACATGTTACATTCAGGACTCGGTTTTAATTACTTTTCATTCACCTGCCAACTGTCATCAGTTGTTTGTCTTGTTCTACATATTTTCCACACTATTATCTTCATCTTGGTTGTTTTTAACACTAACAGCCAATATATTTTTTGGCCTTCCTTTGGTCTCAATTGCGACTTGACAGTCTTTAGAAGAACTTTGGTTGTTTTGGGTTTTTTTCCCTTCTTTTCATTTTGTTGATTGTCAGTCAAACTGAATTCCAGCATTGAGTATTTATTTATCTTTAAATGTGTTTTTGTTACTTTCTGATTTGATGGTGTGGGGGAATACTAAGCAGCTATCAATTTTTTTCTGAATATTGCCTTCCATTTGTTGTTAGAATCTTAGTTTATTTACATATTCACTTTTTTTGTATAAAGTCATGTGAGCAGTTGCTCTTATCTTACATATTTTCCTTCATCATTTCTAGCCAAAATGTAAAACAATACAGGAAGATGAAGTTATATATCAATTGAAACAGGCTGTTAAAAGCAACAACAATGGAGATAAGTTTAAAAACTTTATGGAATACTGAAATTACATAATCTGAAAACTTTCAAATACAACTATTTATTGTCCTTTATCATTTAACTCTAATATGCTCCCTTTACCTGTACGGCCATCAGCTGATGTATATAATAATGATTTGATAAACAACTTACAACCAGATGTGGTTGGTAACCAGTTTTACAATGTAGATGATGTACATGAGTGGGAGGCATGGTGGAGTAATGGATAGCAGCTTGGATTGAGGAATTGGAGAGCCGAGTTCAAATTCCAGTCGAATCCATTACATTCACTTACATGCTAATACTCTTGGGAAAGATGTGAATCCTCCTCTTCTCCCTCCAGCTTCGGGTGAATAGCAGAACAGACTGGGTTCTATAGCCTTGTATGGCAACTGGTCTAGAAGGACAACTCTGAATTGAAACCCGGAGTGGAGCCCCTAAGGTGGATGGACGGCACTTTGTGCTACCTTCCGGCATCTCCTGCAGCCGCACTGGTACCAAACTGTATTGGTTTATCCTTTCCTTTGGACTCTGCTAGCAAGGCCGAGAAGGGGAACTAGACGTCTGGGCAGCCCTAGTTCTCCATATATCCCCCCCCCCCAGCTCATAGCACACCACACTACTCCATCGTCTCTCAAGACGAATGGATGCTGCTGCCGATGACAACGTGAGCGGGAATTTTTATATTTTATTTTAAACAGTTTTGCTTTACATCATAATGAAGTGTTGGTTTTGAAAATCTCCAAAAACCATTAAAATAGATTTTCTTCCCTGTTTTGGTGAAGCAAAGGTCAAAAAATCAAAATAGTAAAAGGGAAAAGATCTTGAATAAAAATATTTTACCACTTTAAATTTTTGTTGTTTTGAAAATTTTACAAGTATTAAATGAATACTTGTAAAATTTTCACCACTGGTGATATCTTTTCTCCGAAGTTGATTTTTTTCTTCCCCACCCCTTACACTGCTTGTCATTCATTCATGCAAGAACCATGTAAGTATAAAGAGTTGTCATCTTGTAAACCATTGCAAGGGAAATTGATTTTTTTTTACCAGCCCCCATATCAGAATCAAGACTTTCATGAATCTGTTTATCATTCTGGTTGGACTCAAGTGATAGCAGAGAGGACTGATTAGCTGAAGGTCTATATGATAATTCTAAATAATAAAAGGAGTTCCATCATAACTTTACTTCGTTAAACTGGCATTTTTATATATATAAAATATATTTTTATATATATAAATATATATCGTTAAACTGGCATTTTTATATATTCCAAATTTTATTTTCCAGGACCGGCCATTCCCATGGATCCTTATGAAGCTGCTCAGGCTGTGTTTCCATCGATGGCTCGAGCCTTACAGAAATATCTGCGTATCACCCGACAACAGCCACGTTACACAATGGAAGCTGTGCTGCAACACTTGGCCGTGTGTATCAGTCATGATGTTGGCCCAAAAGCTTTTGTTGAAAAATACCTCACCCAGGGTGCTGTTATCATGAACGACAAAGATTACAAGGGGGTAGAGAAGTGGGTACTTGTCTGCGACCATTTGCTGACTCGTGAGATAGAACATGGCTTCATATTTCAACTTCGGCATGGTGATCTCTCCCTTCTTTGTTCAGTCCACAAACTTCCACATTTCAGTTTGACTGAAGAAGTCATTGACCCTAAGCAAAACAAGTTTGTATTACGTCTCAATTCTGAGACTTCTGTTTAAATTTTTTTAAAGGAACAGAAAAAAAGAAACTTTTTTTAATCTAAAATTTACAAAAAATTAAACAAAAAAAAAAATTAAACAAAACAAGAAATATAAAAAGGCATGACTCACTTTGTGACATTTTTTTTATTTTGGTGAGAGGCTTTGCCTTATGTGTTTTCATGTTTGTCTGTCCACGTGTGTGTGTGTGTGTGTCCTCCAAAAAGAAGATCCTCCCCCCTCATCCCATTATTCAGGCTTGTTTCTTATGTCAAAGAGACTGTGTTCATTTCTGTTTTGGATGATTTGACAGTCACACTAGAAAAAAACTTCATATGTCTCAGGTTAGTTTTTACTTCAGTTTCTTTAAATTCATATCCAGAGGATTGTAGGGACACTTTCAGTGACCTACTAACTATACTGGCTGCTCATCATTAGTCTTAGTTGACGACTTTCATGCATCCATCTTCTGGATGCTAGATTTGGAGGTTAGTTTTTCCTTCTTGTACAGGAGTTAACAATGGTAAAATGCATTGCCTTGTAGAATGGCTATGGACTTCATGCCAGTCAATTTGTCATTGTAATCATTGAGCTATTCTTTTTGGCCTACCCTAGAAATATATTATGATTCTAAACAATAACCAGGGAGAATAAAGATGAAATGCAATCTGGCAACTTCAGATTTTTAAAGTTCATTTTGTCTTTTTCTTTGAGGCGAGGAATAAAAAAATATGGCCTTTTTTTTTGAATCTAGAAATAAATAATCCTGACACCACCTTTTGGGATCTGAAGGAATCCTGGTTTAACAATTCAGGCTTTGTACAAAGATTTCAGATGTGGACAGACATGATGAGGAAGCAAAATTTTAAAAATTACTGAATACAGGCCAATGTATACAGATATAAGTCTCATAATTAATATTAAAACAAATAATTTATTCTATCTAGCTTTCATTATTTTCAGTTCCAGCCTCAACATGACCTCAAAAATCTGCACAATTATTAATCAAAATATCCTTGGACATCTTGGCAGAGGACCTTCTTGATTGTGTAACTTTGCACAGTCTTAGATTCCTTCATGTAATTGGCCTTGAGCCATGGCAAAATATGGTGGTAGCTCAGAACTTAGCAGTAGATATTCAAGCTTGTAGAAAAACGAGGGCATCTTTTTCCCTTCAAAGGCCATGCCATCTAAGACCATAACCCAGGTTGGATTCTTAGTCGGGAAGATACCCTTAACGTCAGTTGATGTACCAGTTGTTTTTGGTAACTCAAAATAGCATCCACTGTGAAGCTTTTCTTGTTAGAGAATATTTTAAGAATGGATCTATGATTCTTGAGGTGTCCAAGCATTTTCTTGCACCTTTCCAACCTCTGAGCCTTCAGAGATTGTGGGAAGGTACATTTGCAACCTGTTGTATCATTTACAGTTGATCTTGTCATACACAACCCTTGACTTGGGGTTCATTTGAATTTTATTCTCTTTTGAATGAATTGCACATTTTCTTTCTATTTTGTGGTGAAATAAAATCCCAAATATTCCTACAAGCAATTTGTTCTTGTAGTGCAAGAACCAGGAATACAAGACCACAATGTGATGTGGGAAAACTTACTCTCAGTTAATTTATCAATGTGTGTGTGTGTATGTGTATGTATATATATATATATATATATATATATATATATATATATATATATATATCTTATTACTATAAATGTTATATTTAGTTGGTGCATATATTTGAACAGACATCAATTTTTTTTTTAAATTTAAATTATGAAATTGACATCTACTGGCCTATATATAAAAAAAAAAAAAAGTAGAAAAAAAGACAGGGACATCCACTCAAATACTTCCCCCACCCACTGTATATAAATTTATTCTAATATGCTATAATGTTAGATATATAAAATATAATATCCACACCTTTATATTATATTATAAAGGAGTGGACACTGAGGCCAACACCAAGTTTTGAAAGTTTGTTTCACACAATTTTTAGACTGCATTCAAGTATGGAATAAACGTATAACTATATATATATCTATATATTTTATATATCTAACATTATAGCATATTAGAATAAATTTATATATTGTGAGGGAAAGTATTTGAGTAGACATCCCTTTTTCTTTTCTTTTTTTAAATAGGCCAGTAGATGTAAATTTCATTGTTTAATTTAAAAAGAAAGCGATGTCTGTCTTTTTCATTCAGGATGAGTTAATATAGTTTATATTTAATAACAATATCACCTAACTGCTACAAATTAATGCAGAATTTCAAAAGCTTTCTGAATTATTCTAATTAAAATTTTAAAAAAGAAAAAAGAAATGAAAACAATTCTTGTAAAAATTCATTATTTATCAAAAAACATTATTTTCATAAGAAAATAGTGTCCATAATATATTTTATGAATTAGTGCAGATTTTCTCTAATTGGGGGGGTCACCTTTGGTCCAAAAGGACTGATGATTTAAATTCTCCAAGGATTTGACCTTTTTTTTTTTTTTTTTTTCATTTCACCCTAAGTAAGACAATAAAGCTGAGTGTGAAAGAATATGAGAAAAACTAATATTAAGGAGAGAGCCCAATAAAAGAACAAGAAGTTAGAAGATAACAACTGACATTGCATTTAAATTTTTCAAGGTCAAAATTGACTGGGAAGCAAAAAGCTGGATGAAAGGTTCACAAGCAAGAAGTGCAATAGAAGAAACTGTTAGCATAGAACTCACAGTTAAATCTAGCTGCCATTTCAACTGTGAATTGATGGTACTTTGTGACCAATCTAGTACTGTGATTAAATTCATAAAGTCTAGGCACCATGGAGGAAAGTTCATCAGAACAATTACCATAAAAATTTTTATAAAAAAGGCACAGCGCCATTTTATATAATTTTTTTTTTAATTACCCAGTAATAAAAATTTATGAAAGTATTCTATATCTTGATGATGAAACTTAGTTTTTATTTTGTTTGGGACATTTTTTCATCATGTATACTCATTTTTTAGTGATTCTTTGGAGGTATCAAGTATATGTTAGACAATTGTGGGAGGGCACTTTATTAATTAATTGAAACCTGTGAAACTCAAATATAATATAAATATAGAATATAATAATAATCAGTGATGACAGCTTAATTAAGTGGTATTTGAAATATAAAGAGTCAAAATATTTTCATTATAATTGCATTATTTTAATCTTCCATTTTTCTTGTACAAGACAGCAGAATTAGACAGGATTTGGCAACAAATGGCAATCAGCCAATAAGCAACACATAACTGTAGTTTTGTTGTTTCAGACACTGGAATAATTTTGGTAATCTGTGGCACATAAGGAAATGTGTAGAAAAGATTTGATTTTCAAGCCTGTATTTTTTTCTTTAAGATGATTGCTCAACCTAGGGGTAAAAAAATACAATGACAGGATATTTTTAGCCATTACTATTATTATTAGGTTTTCCCATGTGAGAATTTAAAATTTTGTTTTCTTTTAAATTATTGTTTTGTGCTCTACTCTTTCACAGTCTGACTTTCATCTGACTTTATAAGCCTATTAGAACAGTCTGGCATTGTCATAACGAAGACACTGTCACCTGGTATTGCCTGTGCAAGAGCAATAACAGGTGGCAATTGTAGTATAGCCAAAAGTTAGATATTACCAATAAAAATAAACTTTACAAATGCAATTAGTGTATTTTGTAAGATATAGTTCCCTTTTAAAATAAATGGTGTGTGTATGTGTGTGAGAGACCTACTTCTCTATGAAGCAAATTATGAGTTTTTTGTTGCTACAAATTGGGATACATATATAATTTACTTTTATAGAATCTATAAGGTATTTCCTGTTTGCAGCATGGCCTTGAGTGATTTCTATAGGTAACTCATTTTTAGAGATGACATGAACATGTTTGCAACTGAATATTTTCCAAAATATCTCCAAGATCAGTGAAAAATCATCTACTTATGTCACTTTATTTTATTAATCAGCCGATATTCATTGTTACCAGCATATGCCAAAGTATATATATATATATATATATATATATATATATATATATATATATATATATATATATATATATATGTGCATGTCTGTTTTTATTCATACTTCTTACTCCTATATACACACACACACACACACACACACACACGTTTTATTTAACACCCACAAGAAAAAATTTATTTGTGGGTTGTATATATTTTAACCCTCTTATTTCATAAAAATGTTTGTATGTTTGAGATGAGGAATAATTGATCTGAGATGTTATAAGGAATTGGTCTACTGATTTATTGATGTTGTGTTTATTAAGACTGTTTCGGCTATTAATCTCTGTTCTTCATCAGTGGAAAGAGTGAATTCACGATTGTAATATTACAAATTCACTGTAAATTCATGTCTTTTAATTTGATTTTTTTTTTGTTAACTGACAAAATTCTGATGAAGATTCGAGACTATTGGTTGGAACTTCTTTATTTTTAACCGCAATGCAGATCTTTGACCAACCCAAGGAAACAATTTATCTTGGAAATTTGTCATTTTTTGTTATACATCATTAGAAACTTATTTTTAAATCCACATTTTTAAACTTCTTTTTCTGTCTCTTAGCAATTTTTTTTTTTTTTTTTTTTTTTAAATGAAAATTTTTTTCATCAGATTTTGGTAACTTGCAGGTTTGCAATCGCGTAGATTTTGAGGGTTCATTGTCTTTGGGTCACAAACACAACTTGTGCTTTATAAGAAACACACAGTGGAAAATCATTGGGTACTTCTTCCATTTTACATGTTCTTTGTCAAACATTGGGGTTTCAAAAATTCCCTTTCATCTGTTTTTTCTTATAATTTTGTCTTTCCAATTTCTTCATTGCCTCATCTTTGTCAAATTATAAAAATAAGTTAATTATAGAATTATGAACCTTAGCTTCTAAAAAAATAATTTATGAGAAAGACTTAGGTAAAAAAATTAAATACTAATTTTAATCTGATTAATTTTCTAATTAACCTACCTGCAGATACCTTCATTAA